GCCTTGCCAGGCATGCACTTAGAGAGCCAAGCTATCTCCCCAGTCTTGTTTTTTAGAGATAGTGTCTAGCTATGTAGTTTGGCTGTCAAATTCACTATGTACCCCTTAGGCTGCTCCTAAACTGTTGGCTATCCTGTGTGTGTGTGTGTGTGTGTGTGTGTGTGTGTGTGTGTTTGAGACAGGGTCTCACTCATTTCAGGCTGGCCTTGAGTTCACTTTGTAGCCCAGGCTGATTTCAAATTCACAACGATCCTCCTGCCCCAGCATGGATTATAGTGCTGGGATTATAGTGCACCACCACGCCCACTGAATGTGTACTTTCTTAAATCTCTGCCTAATAAAATGTTTGGGCCTCTTATTAATGTGTCGTGGAGTTCTTTTCCTGTGACAGGAGTCAAGAACCTATTAGGTGGGCCAGGTTGAGGACTTGAGTTTGGGAAAACTCTTCAGACCCACCCTGTGACCTGATCAAATTTTTCTCTCCACAGTCACCTCCCTGGTCTCAAGCTCTCTGGACTGTTTGGTCCAGAGGTGTGGCACAGCATCTCGCCTGGCTTCCCTGCTTGGGATCTGGTTTCCATGGTTACACCAGCCAGCCAGATCCTGCTCCTAGAGCAGGCAGGTGCCAGTGTTACAGGTGACTCAGTCAGAGGCCTGGATCTGGACCCCTACTCTCCGGGTTTGTTCACCTACTTACTAATCTCTGAGAGTAGAGAGTATGAAACACAAAAAACAAAACAAGCCAGGTACGGTGATGCATGCCTGTAATATCAGCACCTGGGAGACTGAGGCAGGAGGATTGCCTGGAGTTCAAAGCTAGCCTGAACTACAGACCAAGACCCTGTCTCAAGCAAACAACAACAACCCCCACCCCCCAAAAAATCCCATGAAACATGGAAAAAGTTTATTTACAACTTGGTCAAATTGGGAGGGCAGCTAGTACAACACCTTATTATCTTGGAGGGCACAGTAGTGCTCCAATCTGTAGAGAATGTAGAACAGACAGTTAAATTTTAATATGTAGAGTTAGCCACACTTGGCCCTGAAGGCTGAGGGGGGTGTTATGATTTCCAGCACAAAAAATTGGTGTTTATTTGTAGTGTATTTGGTTGATCCAGGGTCTCATTAAACAGTTTGGACTTATAATGATCCTCCTGTTTTCAGCCTCCCCAGAGCTGGGATTACAGGTGTATGCCACTCTATGCCGGGACTCTGTGGTCAGCTCAGCCTGCCCTGGGTGCAGGGCTGATATGGCATGTGGTGCCAGGGTTTGAACCATAGTCCCTCCACTTGCCTAAACTTGCCTAAGCAGGTGCATTAGTCCGGTGAGCTATTTTGCCCACCCGGTGTTTATGTTTTGTTTTTATTATTATTTTTTTTTTCCTTTACTGAGCCCAGGGCCTTTGCACTGAGCCACATCTCCAGCCTTTTCATGTTTTTAAAATAAAGAAAATTTTTTTTTTTCTTTTGAGACAGCATCTCACTGTGTAGTTCTGGCTGTTAGGCTATCACTACGTAGTCCAGGCTGGGCTCAAACTTGCAATGATCCAACATCTTCAGCCTCCTGAATGCTGGGATTGTAAGTGTGATTTAAAAACATTTTGTTTTTCAGTACCTGGGATGGAACTCAGGACCTTCTACTTGTGTTTAAGTTGCTGAGCTGTCTCCCTGCCAAAAACCTTAATTTTGAAAGATCATTTTGACTATTCAGGTTACAGCACTGCTCCTTGACTTCTTGGCTCCGGAACTTGTCCCACATGAGGGTCTGACTCACTGACCCTCCTGCTCAAGAACCAGAATGCTCGTCCCTGGAGAGCTGTCCCCAGAGCAGACAGGCCTCACTGAAGGTCCGTGTACAAAAGCCCCACCTGCCTTCACCTTGTCCTCTGCTATTCCTCCTGGCTCCTGAGACTTTGGTCAGTCTCCTGCAGTGCCTACAAGCAGTGCCCAGCACTTCAGAGGCCTAAGATTTGTCCCTGACGGAAGGCATGAGTGGACAAGTTCCTCGGTGCTCCATTTAGCCCTCACAGCTGCCTGGGGCTGGGGAAGATCCGGAAGTGTGGAACAGTGAGCTGGGAACTCCAAACCCCAGGCACCGCTGGCAGGACCCTGAGGGTGGGGCTGTGTTTCAGATTTCCTAGGGACATTGCCCCATCCTCAAATCTAGGAAGACTGAGAAACCAACGGATAATGAGCAGTGCCTGGCACATCACGGGTCCAATAAATGGGTTGAGGAGGTTAAGAGACTTGGGGGTACACACATTTCATGGGGCCCAAAGGAAGAACCTAAGTGTGTTGGAGGAAGGGACAGGAGGAAGGGGCTGAAATGGACTACCAGTGAGAACATTTGGGATAGACTTTGAGGGACAGATAGGAGCCTGCTGGTCAGGACTTCAGCAGATAGGGTAGGGGTCCGGGCACTGCACTGACATGTGGGGACTGGCAGCTGGTGGCTGGGCTCCATGCTGCTCCTTCGGAACTCGCAGATGCCCTTGACCACTACCGGTCAGGCCTGCCTGGCCCCTGCAGCCCCGCCCCAGTGACGTCTGCAAGGAGGCGTGGCAATGCAAGTGGGCGGAGCATCGGCGAGGGGCGGGGCCCGACGACGCTTTAGGCCCCGCCTCGGGAGGGAGGTTGAGACCGGAAGTTTTTTCCGCCTCCACTCGCCTCCTTGCTCCCTTCAGTCCCACCCCTCGGCTACGTGAGCAAGGTCATGTCCCGGAAGTAAAGGGGCCATGTTGATGGGTGACCCGGGGAGAGGCATTGGGCGAGAGGCGAATCCCGAGGAGTTACGGTAACGCGCGCGGCCCGCGGGTGAGTGAGAGAGGTGAGGTCGCTCTCAGGGCCGCCGCCGGCGCCCCCATCGGGCCCGGGCCCTACTACCGGCCGGTGCTCGGGCTTCCCCTTGCCGGCTCCGCGCTTTCCCCAGGAGGCCTCTTCGCGTCCCGGCCCTAGCCTCCGGAGGCTTCCGGGCTCGGGAGCCGGACAGGCCCGGCCCACGGTCCCCGCACCCCGCTCGGTCCCGCCCCCAGGGCCGGGGAAGGCGCTGCGGGGCGGCCGGGCCCGTCGCCCAGCGACCTTGGGGCAACAACCCTCGCGTGACGGACGCTTTCTGTCTCTGTTGGTTTTCTGCCCCTCCACTGAGGTCTTCTGGAATTGAGGAAAAAGGGACCGAGACAGTGGCTTGCCCAAGCTCATTCAAGAAGTTAGGCCAGACGGAGTGGGCTTTGGGTCCAAGTGGTTAGCTCCTTTCTCTCCAAATACTTGCCCCATTCAGTGCATTTCTTTATGTGAAACGGGTGATCATTTCTTTCCACATAGGGATATAGTGAGTTTTCTGTCTTTCACCCAGCAGCTTTGAGCCCCTACTATGTGTCAGGCATGTTACTGGGAAAGTTCCGGGGACGCCCAGAAGCACGGCACACTTGGGAAAACTCCAGCATTCCAGCGCATGGTCACTCACAAGCAGTGCACCTGGAGTTGGGGTCAGGAGCACCTCCGTCCCTTTTACAGCTGTGCGCCTGTCCCCAAGTTACTTCTGCAGGCTTTTGTTTCCTCCGCTTGGGGCTAAAGCGTTGTTGATAGAATGAGTTGTTAGTGAGGTGCTTAGAACATGTCTGGTAATAAGTAATCCCTCATAAGTAATCACTTAATATGAACCCTGTCCACATCGTAGGTTCTTAGTTAAAATGTAATCGATGAAAGCCAGTGTGGTGGCGCATGCCTGTAATCCCAGCACTGGGGAGACTGGGACAGGAGGATCATTTGTGAGTATGAGACCAGCCAGGGCTCAAAGTGAACTCAAGGCCACCCTGAACTGCATAGCGAGGTCCTGTCTCAAAAAGACCAAAAAAAAAAGGATGACACAGCACTTTACAGATGATAACATTGGCACTTGTGTAAAGGTTTTTTTTTTTTTTTTTAATGGAAGAAAGGCAGTTGCAGTTTGTGTATAACTTAATGTGATGTTTATTGAGCATTTACAAACCGGGCTAGGTAGCACTAGTGGTAGGTTTTCCTTGCTCAGTATGTGCCAAGAGCTGTTCCAACTGTCTCAACTCTTAAATGCTCAGACCTACCAAAATATGATTTATTCTCACTGCATAGTGGAAGAACGGAGCCAAACAGAGAGGACAGAAGCTTGTCCAAGGTAATACTGCGCAGAGTGATGGTACCAGTGTTTAAACTTGGCTGAGTTCTTGACTTTAGCCACTCTGAACTATGCTTTGTGATGAAGTTGGCTTACAGGTGCTTTGAAGGTGGGCAGTTCTCAAAGTAGTAGTTGCTGTTACTGTAATATTTCCCTTTTATAACTGAGGACGCTAATGCTCAAGAGGTTGAGAACTTGACCCAAAGTAAGTAGCATAGCCAGGATGCTAGACCAACAGTCCAGTTTCCAAGGTGTGACAGCCATAAACCTGTACTTTTTCAGGAGGGGGTGTTGAAAGGCTAAGGTCCGTCCTAGTCCTGTAATGAAGTCAAAGTTAACCTTGGAAAGGTGAATCCTGGATTAAACCTCCGGTGCACATTGTCTGCAGACCCTGATGGCATCAATTCTTATTCTAGCCTTGTGTGTTTTTTCTTCTGCATAGAGTGTGACACCAGTCCCGCCTGTCCCCCATGGCCCCGTGGAGCCGAGAGGCGGTGCTGAGTCTTTACCGGGCTCTGCTGCGCCAGGGACGAGAGCTTCGCTACACTGATCGAGACTTCTACTTTGCCTCGATCCGCCGTGAGTTTCGGAAAAATCAGAGGCTAGAGGATCCTGAGGCCCGGGAGAAGCAGCTGGAGAAGGGACTAGTCTTCCTCCACAGCAAACTAGGGGGGCTGGTTTAGGATCTTTGCCTTTACTTTTGTGCCCTGACTGCCAGAAAAGAGGACAAAGGTGCCTTCTGTGGACACTCCTGCTCTTTCACCCCCACCTCCCAGATGCATTAAGGGGCCTCAGGTAAGTAGGCCTTCATTTTGCTAGGCTGTACTTCTTTTTCTGATGCAGGGAACCAGAAAAGAGAGATTACTTTTTTTTTTCTTTCCATTTATGTGTTTGGCACAGAGTCTCACTACGTGGCTTGGACTCGTAGTGATCCTCCTGTTTTCAGCCTTCCCAGTGCTAGGGTTACAGATATGTGCCACCACACTGGCTCAGCACGTCCCAGGTGTAGGGCTGGGGCTGGTGCAGCATGAGGGACCAGAGATGGAACCCTGATCCCTGCGCTTGCCACAGCAGGTACTTAAGTCTGCAGGCCCTAAGATCATTTATTTTTAATGACCACCATCTTTCCTTTTGTTTCCTCAAAAAGAAGTGGTTTCCTTTGTGGGGAAGAAAGTAGGCCCTGAGTTTAGGGCCCCAATAGAACAGATTGGTATCACCATCTTATTTGATAAAATATTTTATATATGAAAATGTTTAGAAAATTGGTTGAAGCCATAGAGTTCAGTTCTAAGCCAGTCCTTTTTTTTTTTTTGTATTTTAGGGAAGGGTCTACAGGGTGTTCAGGCTCTCACTACTAAATCAGACTCATAGTGATCTGCATGTTTACAGCCTCCTAAAATCTGGGATTATAGGCATGTACCACCATGCCCAGCCTCAATTGCCATCTCAGCGCGCCCCAGGGATGGGGCCAGGGATTGAGCCCCTGACCCCTGTGCCTGCTTGCAGGCACTTTAATCCTCTGAGCTGTTTGGCCGGCCCTTCAGCCCATTCTTTAGTAGATTCAGGTACATGTACTGTGTGTGGGTCAGATCATGTTTCCTGGAAGACAGAGCATGGTATACAGACTTCAGAGTTTAACACTTGGGTTTAAGTGCTGGCACTGCTACTAATAGCTGTGGGAATGAGAGCTAATCACTTAAGCCTTTCCAGGCCTTCATTTTCCCATTTGTGAGATACAGATGGTAGTAGTTACTGTCTTGGGTTATTATGACAGCTCAGTAAGACAGTGCACACGTAGCACTGGGGCTGGTTCTTGGCAGGGGCTAGGTCAGCTCTATTTACTCTGGATGCCAGTGTCAGCAAGAGTCTCATGCGGCATAATGGTTATATTTAATTCAGCAGCCTTCCTGGAGGGCCTCCATGGGCCTGGCTTTCTGGTAGGCTCTGGAAATAAGAGGGGATGCTGTGGCTCATCAGGGAATTCGGTCTTAGGTAGATAGCAGCAGGAAGCAGCCCTGTGCTCAATGCTGGGTACAGCACTCTGGGGGCAGGAGGAAGACATAGGTCTGCCTTGGGTTTGGTGGTGGGAGAGGACTGTAGGCTGCTATAGAAAAGAGGACATTTCAGGTCTATCTCAAAGCAAGGGGATAAGAATAAATGCGTGGAGGTGGAAACTATATTTTGTAGTCTGGAAACCTGGTGTTGCTAGAATGGTGCACCTGTGTGGCAAGTGACTGAAGTTGAGGCTGGGCCAAGCCTGCAGAGAGTGTCCCAGCTTTGTGAGGAGGGACTGGTATAGCTACGTTTGTGCCTAAGAACATACAACAGTGGTGTGGAAAATAAACTGGTGAGAGAGGAGGGGCAGTGAATCTGAGCAGATGGATCGAATCACTGGGCTGGTGGGGCTGGTGGTGTGCGCATCCAACATGTACAGGAGCTGGGGTTCTTGGTGGCTGCTCGGCCAAGGCAGGAGAGCAGATGAAGGGTAGCTGCGGTAGTTGCCATTTGGGTGCTGTTTTTGACGAAAATGGAAGCGGGCAGAGGAGCCTTCTGAAACGGCTTTTGGTTCTCCCTGTCCAGTTTTGTTGATGGGCAGACCTGCCTTTAGCAGTACAAAGCCAGGGCCAGGATGATGCCTGCCTGCCCTGGTAGGGGAGCCCACCTCAAAGGGAAACTGCTACTGCAGTCTTTGTATTCCTGATCTGTGTAATTGTGAGTTGCTATCTCTTGCCATCACCACCCTCTAAAAACGTCAAGTGCCATCGATCAGTACTTCATTCATGCAACAGATACTTACTGTATCAGACATTGATCCCTGGAGATGTAGCAGCACATGCACCAAATGCATTCAGTGCAGAGGAATTCTAGAAGCTTGTGGTCCAGTAGTTACTAGAGAGAAAAGCAGATGAGGTGAGGTTGTAGACTGTTTGGGACTCCTAGATTGGTTCTTCCCAGCAGCATAAGGCCTAGGTTCAAATCCTGGCTGCACAATTCACGGACACAGTAAATTATTGGGGGCTTGTCATTTAACGTCTTCTTCATCTTTAAATTGGAGATCGCAGTATTTTTTTTTTTTTATTTTTTTAAAAATGTATCAGGTATTTAATTAGGTTCTTAGTAAGAAATTTAGAACACTAATTTATGAGGGTAAATTCCATTTGTCAGAGCAAAAACGGATTGCAGGTAGCCCCGGAGCTGAGGAACACCTTTGATTTTTGCCAAAATCTGTGAGTCCACCGCTTTCTGAT